TGCAAAAAATGATAAACACTACTTTTAAAAAAAAAACTGCCTTGCATTATTCTCCACACATAGCGTGATCTGAACCCTAAACACGTTTTGTCAAAAAAGCTGGTATTGTCCACTTTCAAGGCATCGCGAGTTCACGTTTTACTGTAGATGCCGACAAGTGCCCTTGTTGTTTGTGAACAGAAGCTGATAAGTCCATTTTAACGAAACATTCAGCGCACTGTATTCAGGTCAGGTGACAAGGCTACAGTCACTTTGAAAAGACGCGCTAGCTGAGTTTTGTCAAAGCTGACTAAGGGGCCGTTTACACAACAACATTTTCAGCCAAAAACTGGAAACTTTTTATGTGCATATTTTTGAAAATGGGTTTCAAAGTGCACGTTTTTGAAAACGGCACCGTTATCATTTCCGTGTAAACACCCAAAACGGGAATCTTTGAAAACGCTGACGTCATACGCGTGCATAGTACGTGTTAGGTATGTAGACATGCGCAGTACGTGTTGATTTTAAAGGCAAGCGCGAACAAACATACACAACAATGGCGTAGCGATAGAGGCTATTTACACTAAGTGCAAATAGTGATGGAGGCTATTTACACTAAGTGCAAATAGTGATGGATGCTATTTACACTAAGTGCAAATAGCGATAGATTCTATTTACACTTAAAATAGCAGGAATTTCTGCTTTTATACTACTTATTGCAAATAGTGGCAATTATCTGCACCTCAGTATTATAGTACATTATAAAACAGTATGCAGTAATAACGTATTGAGTGTAAATTATAATTTTAATTCAAATTATTAAATGGATGCCACCTTATTGGGACAATAAATCCCTTCCTACACCTACCCGATACTTTATTTTCAACTTTTTGATTATTCCCTTAATTTTTATTGAAAATAAATGCCTTTCCGATGTGATATGAGATTTGAAAAGGGAGAAAAAAAAAGTTCGGCAAAAGGCGGATTTGAACCCGGGTCGATCGCGTCAAAAGAAGACTAAGTTACACGCTTTACCATCTACGCCACTGGAGCTAACAATTGACAGCCGTCTTTTATAGTGTTGACTAGCCCCATCATACGTTTGTGGGTGGAGCTAGTGTAAATAGCCTCTGCCAACGAGGCGGGCTGTTTGCACTTAGTGTAAATAGACACTCCGTTAAAAAAATCTTTGTGAAAACGACTGGCAACGACTGGTTCTTGAATTCTAAGATTATAATCTTTAAACACCACACACTATGCGATTTTTTTCTGCCGACTGCAAACAGCGACTGAGCCCAACTGGAACAGACCCGGTCTGACTGGACACGATCCGTCCTCAAGACCAAATTACATTCATAATTGGCCTGACAGTCGTGTAGTGCGTTCTCGGTTTCATAGAGTGTGACGTCACGTGCACTATTGCTGGTGGCGGTTGTCACGGCGACAGTCACAGCCCTACATGCAACCAGAGGTGGACAAAGTACACAACTCCATTACTTGAGTGAAAGTACAGATACTGCTGATCAATTATTACTTCATTACAAGTGAAAGTTGTAAAGACAGATATTTACTTAAGTAAAAGTACAGAAGTACTTGCTTTTAAAAGTACTTAAGTACCAAACGTAAATTTCCTTTTTTTATGTCAACGCACTTTTTTTATTTTTGTTTTATTATTGTTGTATATAATTTTGCAATACCTCTGAAGCAACTTACAATACATTGTACATACTGAATACACTGACTATCTTGTAGCATTTTTGGAATAAAGAGATTTTAGAATGTTAAAAACCTCTGGAGGAAAAAAAAAATATTTAACACCCTACCCACCCACACAAAAGCAGCATGGTAATGATCTCACACAGCTCTGGCAGTGCACACACCTACGTGTAGCTATTCATCCACATTTGAACCGAGTGGCCAATGAAATTGCTGTAAATACAGACTAAGAAAAAAAAAATTTTCAGGTTAAATCAAACCTGATTTAAAACCCAGCAACACAACTGTAGCTGTGTAACTTTACAACAGCAACACTGCTTTAACAAAATTATTTGACATCAAAACAAAAATTTAAAAAATGCTCTAATCGCTCTCACAGTACTTTGATGTCAAACACAGAACGGTCTGTGCAGTGCTGCTTCACGTGAAACACCTACAGTATTGTGCTGCATTGTTAGGAGACGCACAACAGTTCTTTAATCAAAATTAAAGAACGTTTTGCATTACAGGCATTATAGGTAATATTTTCGTTCACACAATTTAGCAAATTCAGACAATATTGTGTCTATACCACAATATTAACTTATTATTATTATTGAATTGTTGTAAATAAATAGGGGTAAACGTACCTATTAAGCTCATGTACCCCTTAAGCACACTTCCATATTTGAGCTCAGATTATAAAAAGAAAAAATAATGTATTATCATACTTGATGTCTTAACCAGTTGATGTGTTTGTTACTACATACTTCCTGTAATTTCAAGTCAATCAGATCAGTGCACACTGAGATGAGTCTGTGTGTTCACACTGTCTGGCGGCCATTTGGAAAGCTGTCTAAAAACTTTCAACAAAAGGAGCTCCTTAAATGTGCATTTTTTAGATGTTTAAGCCTTTATTTTGGGTAAGTTTCACTACTTACTGTAAAATTAATAGATTCATGTTTTTATACTTTTGCATATTATAACCTGGAACTTGGATGTGGGAAATAATTATAGTTAGATCCAAAAGATAGTTTAAGCAACATAGCGCCGATGCTACAGAACACAGTTAGCTGACTAGCTGTATAAAATTGTGTGCTACGCTAATATATTATTTCACAGGCATTACTGGCTTGTACCTTTACATCCATAATATGGTAAATTTACAGTTTATTGCTGGTCTGTGGTTTTATACTGCTGTATTTTTTAAAGATTTCATATTATTGTAAGGTGAGCTTAAAGGGTGCACTACTATGAAAATCACACAGCTTCAGTGTGACATCAATAAGAAAAAGTATAATTTCATAGATATTGTTAATAATAGTTGTTCATAATAAAATATGTATGACCTTAATACATGACCTAGATTATTTATTTTCTAGAGAAGTGAAGACAGACAAGTTGACATCCATTTAATAAGAGGCTTCATGAGGCTAGTTTCTGTGTTCATTCCCATGAATGAAATGATTTATTGGTTTGTTTTATTAGATTTTTTAATATGTGTTACTTAGCTGAACACAGACTAGTATAGATGTTGCAGTGTGCTTTAAAATGACACTTCACTATGAATACATAACTGATCAAATTGAATGCCTTGTTGCTTGATTTTAGTGTTCTGTTTTTTTTTGTGATTGACTTTGTACATTCAAAAAGAAAAAAGAAAACATTATTCTTTAAAAAGATTGTTTAAGATAAACAAGATTTTTTTATAAAATATGATGTGAGCTTATTGGGAACAGGGGTGTGCTTAAAGGGTACAAAAATGTACCCATTAAGCACAGCCGGACTTTTTGCATTTAATGATGTACATCTTAGTTAAAATGCTTTTGTCATTTAAAATAAAATTTAATATTTTTGTGTGAGAGATTAATATTTTATTTTAACAACTTTTTGTACTGAAACCAGTATCTTGTGCACTAAAAATGTCTCAATGTAGATTTTGGTGAGCTTAATAGGTACGTTTACCCTATCACATTTGCAACTGCTCTGTGTTCAAAAAATGCTGGGAAATCACTTCATGTAGCCCTAACAAGAGTGATTATTGATAGACTGTCTGAAAAAAAGAGTCACATTTTAGAGAAGAAAAAAAAAATCACCCACTGACTTTAAAAGCTGCTACATAGTAACAACTTTCTACTTCGAGAACCTTAATAGAAATGTAGTGTAGTGAAAAGTACGATATTTGTCTTTCAAATGTAGTGAAGTTGAAGTCATAAGTCACTAGAAAAAAAATACTCAAGTCGAGATATTCAAAAACTGTACCCAAGTACAGTACTCAAGTAAATGTACTTAGTTACTGTCCGACTCTGCACGTAACTTTATTTCAATTCTATGCAGTGATAAAGGCTATGTCGATTAGCACTGCATTATAAATATACTTTATTATAATGAAAATGCCAGAGAAGGCTTGAAGAACTCATAAACCATATATTGTCATAGTCGTGAGTTTATTAGTCACGTTGAATCAATAAAAGCAGTTCAATCTCCTGTTTATTCAGCTACAACAAGGGTAGGCAAGTTCAGTCCTAGGCTGTGTCCGAAATCGCCCCCTATACCCTTAAATAGGGCACTATTTGAGGGAACAGCCATTTTTAGTGGTGTCCGAAACCATAGTGGACGTTCTCGAGTGCACTCATTCAATCCCACAATGCACTGCAAAAACGAGTGTACAACTGGTGCACGCTCAATGGCTAGAGAATGCCCATAATGCACCGTGAGAGTCACGCGCCGAATGAATTCCCGCATCTCGCGCCCGCAGCTGAATAATCAATCCGTTCATTTTTACAAAGCGCTCATCCATGGCGTACAGCATAATGTACAACA